TCAGCTGAAGCATAATAGTTTCTGTTCCAGCCCCTTACCTTTAGTGTGTGTGTCTATCTTTGTACTTCAAATGTGTTTCTTTTAAACAGCATATTGTAGGATTTTGGCTTTTATTCCATTCTGCTATCTTCTGTTTTTGGAGAAGTTCATCCCATTCGCATTTACAGTTATAACTGTGTTTTTCCTTCCATCCTATTTCCCCCCAGTTTCTGTTTCTTTCTCTCGCCTCACGAGTGTTTTACTTCTGACCACCCTTTTCCCCAGTGAAAGCTCCTATTTTCAAGAAGCTTACATTCTAATGGGCGAAGACAAGACATAAAAGGAAGCTGAAAGGAGATGAGGAATGGAGGCACCTTGGGCATGGTTGAGAAGTTCTGAGTGTAGCCTAGTGGGAAATAAAGACATGCCTAGCTTGGGGCCTTCCTAAAATGGAGATTCTGAGAGGAGCCATCCATCGTGGCTTTGTACTATCCTTTTCCTGGTACTCAACCCAGAACAAAATCCCCAAAAAAACCACCACTGCTCTTCATTGTTCGGTGCATCTTCCTGATGGTTGAACCACACTAAGTACCATGAGTTTCTTCCCTTCTTTGCTCACCCATATCATCAGACCACTGAGTGTGAAACAAGGTCTGTGTATCTTCTAATCATCTTCTCTATTCTAGCAATAAACATGAACATGTCTAAAATCTAATTACTTTTTGACTGTGCTAGCACTAGTCAGAGTGGGATTATTCTATCTATATATGATTTCAGGGAGATAGGGTTTTTTTCCACATGTGTAAGTTTGGCCTATTTAGCACTGAGTTATAGCTAAATGCTTCCATTAACTATAGATTCCAGTTCTGCCATTTATTACCTGTGTGATCTAGAACAACTCATTTCAACTCTCTGTGCTTCACTTTCCTTATCTGTAAAAATGGGTTGGTTGGACTAGATGGCCTCTATGTTCCCTTCTGTGTTCCTGGGATTAAGAGGTGGTTAGGTACCAAGAAAAGACCACTGACTCTTGAGTTGGGGGACCTGGGTTCAAATATCACTTCTGGCATCACTACCTGTGTGACTTTGGGCAGCCTGATGCCCTGTAAGGTCCCTTCACTTCTAAATCTATAATATATGAATAAGTGCAGGGCACAGAGGCAAATCATATAGAATTACAATGGACTGTTCCCATGAAACAATCTCATTTGTAGCTCTGCCAACATCTGAAAGAAAACACTGTAATAGCCACAATAAAATAAACTCTGGGGTCCAAATTTCAGCTCTACCCAATTGTCTTCAGTAGTAGTCTTCCATACTTAGATGGATCCAACTCCCCACTAATGTTGGTAACTTCAAAATGAAGGTTATGACCTGCCCATTCCTGCCAGACCTCAGGTGTTTTCTGCCCATTTCCTCCCATAATCTGCCATAGAGAGCCCCTCTGGCATACTTGGGGGCTTTCCTCCAGTTCCCTTGTGATGTGATGCAGTATATGAGCTCTCCACTGATTATGCTTCATTTTCACTACAGTGTTTATCTTTTTTTTTTTTTCTGGTACTAAATTTCTCTAATGATATGCCTTATGTTATTTCCCCTGTACAATTCATTTGAAATATATTGCAGTCAGTCACAGCACCCTGTGACTCTCTATTGCCCTTTGGGTAATCCACAACTTCCATCCTTTAGAGACTTTGACATTCCGTGTCTCAAAGCTATACAAGATGACAAAAATGTTGCAGGGGGGAGGAGGAGGCCAAAAACAACTGCACCATTTTCCAGAAGCCATCTGGCCAATTCTCCCCCTTGTGGACAGTTCTGGGTTTAGCTCATGCTCCATTTGCAGTGTCTGTCCAATATATCTGTCAATAGAAAGAAGGAAAATTGTGATTTGTGCGTATCTGCATGTAGAAAGGGGAGGGCAGAGATCTAGGGAGTCTTAGGCTGACAGTCATGGTACCAGAATATCTCGGATATTATCAGAGTACTGGGACCCTATTAGAAAGAGAGTGGGAAAAGCAGGATAATCTAGGTTCAAGTGTGAGGTTTATCCCTGCAGGCCTTAGGAAAATTGTAAGGTGGTACAAAAAGCACTTAATTTGTAGTCAAAACACCTGGGTTCGAGTCTCCATTCTGCCACTTAGATGTTGTGTGACCTTGGGCAAGTCAACTGATTTCTCTGACCTTCAAACATTATGCCAATTTAACAAATGAGGAAATTGAACTCTCTAATTCATCTGATTGTATGGAAGATTCAAGAGAGATTAAAGTATAAAGTGCTTCATAGAACATAGAAATCAGTCATTGTTACAATTTCACCATAAAAGTTTCCCTCCCACTCACTCTTTATATTTTAGATACCAATCTGCTGTATAGAAGCTACTTGACAGCATTTTTTACTTCTAAGGAGACAGAAGAAGGATGAGTTTTGAATATTCCAAATGAAAAATAAGAGCCCCATAAGTGATTACCCTTTTTGAGAAACTGTGTTGGCTCCCTATTGCCTTAGGCTAAAATGCAGACTCCTGTGCTTGACGTTTACAGCCCTAAGCTAGCTCGCTCCACTTTACTGCCCTTTCAGGCTTACTGCACGTTGCTTGTGTTCACAGGCTCACTCTACCTACCTTGCAGCAAACCAGACAGACCTATTTGCTGTTTCATGAACTATCTACTCTACCTTCTTGGAGTTCCTGGCTCATCTTAGGTGCTAAATAAATGCTAATTGAGTCCTTGACTGATTGTGCCTGTAAACAGTCTACCCCATTCCTGGAATCCCTCACTTCCTAAAAGGCTGGGTTCCCGCATAATCTTCTGTAGAAAGTCTTCCCTCATCCCCTTGGTTGTCAGTGAACTCCCTCCTTTCCAAATTATCTCATGCCTGTTTCTCTGTTTATGTTGTACCTTCTCCCTCTTCCCAGTAATATGTAACTTCCTTGAGGATTGGGTCTTTTTTCATTTGTCTTTGTATCTCCAATGCCTAGCACAGTGCCTTACATACAGCAGATGCATATTAGTATGGATGGGATTGGGTTGTACGGGCCTGCATTGCATTGGTTTGGTTTAGACAGGACTGAATTGGATTGCATTGTGCTGATTTGGCTTGGCTTGAGAATATGATCTTCAAGTAGTTGAGATGATTTAGCTGACATATTCAATGAAATGTTAGAAGGAACTTTAGAAATCTCTGGTGACTGGGGAAAAAACACTAGTGGAAAGAGTGGAACTTTCCAGAGGTATGGACTTTGACTTGTGAGCTAGTTGCAGGAAGGTCCGTCAGCCTCTGCCCAAGCTGCTTAAGCACCTAGCACACAGGGATCCAGATCTGTGATTAACTGACAGTAGCGCTATGTGGTCCTGTTCTCAGTCTCCCTTTCCGTGATGTGCAAAAGACTCCACATTCATCCTCTGCCCCTTGGCCTTGAAGTCAGGGTTAATAAAGTGATGCCCAGCAGCACTGGCAGCACACAGGAGGGCTGTTTGATTTCTCATGTGTTTTTGTTTCTGCTCTAGTCAAAGGAAGACTGTGGTTTGCCCTGCCTGCAGCAGCAGACCGCCTGCTAGCACAGAGCAGGAAGCAGAAGAAAGAAAACAGACCGAAATCTGAAATGTGCTCATTGGGGCAATCTGTCCTCAAAATGGTTCTGTGGAGCTGGGGGAGGGGAAAGAAGGGGAGAGAGACAGAGGAGCTCTGTTGACAGTGTTAACATGGAGAAAACATGCCAAGACCATATAGCTTTATATACTCACAGATGCATCAGAGCAATGGTCCTCCATAGCATTTTGACAATGCCATCAACTCTGGAGTAAGCAGGCATTTTTCTTCTTCCCCAAGACTGTCCTCCAGTTCTGAAACTGAGGCTGCCATATGTTCCAGGTGACACCCCATACAGTAAGAAAAGGGGAATGAATAGTTGTAGATATGGAAGATGGAGCATGTCTCAGCAGCAGTATACTTCAAATCCCTGAATACTGGCCAGTGTAACCCCAGCTGCCTCCTCTGTTTCCCATTTATAAAGTAAGATGAGCAAGGATTAAATATACACTAAATAATATACTGGGAAGAGCACTGAATCTGGAGTCAGAAGCAACCTTCAGTTCTAGCTCTGATATTTACTAGTTGTGTGACCCTGGGAAATAGGAATAACAATAATTTGTACTACTTACTTTTCAGGGCTAGGGTGAGGAAAGTGCTCAGTGTTTGTAGATAAGCCTCAATCACTTATTATTACTGAGGTTGTGGTGTCAAGGGACCTTGGGGAAGTCCCTCAACCTCTCCAGATCTCAGTTTCTTCATCTGTAAAATGAGGAAATTGAACCAGATGAAGTCTAAGGCCCCTTCAAACTCTAACCCTATAAGCCTGGATACTTGACATGGCAGTCTATATATCCCTCTGGAAAGTTATGAGGGAAGTCTCCAGAGCACATTCTGGGGAGAACACTGGCTGTTAAACTGTGGGAGTGGCAGGAAGAAAACCTCTCTGTCCTCTATCAAAAGACTAGTTGAAATTAGCTTAATTTTAGACAATACAAAGCTCAGATATCATCCTGATAGGAACCACAGACACATAAAGATGGCTGAGGGGAAGTCCAGTTCAGGATCACTGATTTGAAGTTAATAAGAATATTAATGGAGGCAGTTAGAGACCAATTGATTATCAAGGATGAATAGAGGAATGTCATGGGCAAGCAGGCATTATAGCATGAACCCTGGGTGTCCTATACAGGCAGCAGAAACTATAGAAAGCTGTGAAATTTGCCCTCTCTGTAGGGTCAGAACATGAGAGATTGGGACTAGTGAAGAACCCAAGCTGAGATACAGCAGAAATAATGAATTTGGGGCATGTGAGACATTGGCATCTTTGGGGGTAGGTGGAGATTTCCTTCTATGCAGAAGAATGAGAGACATCATTATATCTATGGGATGCCAATTTTCACTTGCCATCTTTGACACTTATTTTAATTATTGATTTTTTTAAAAATAGTGTAGACATTTCCTAATATCCCCCTGCCTATAGAAACCTCCTTATAACAGAGAAAAACACAAGCAAAACAAAAGGACACAGCACCTTCTAACAGCATTTGCCACATTCCATGCCAGAAGTTGCTCCATCTTATTACCAAGAAGAGGATGTATTTCATTATCTGTCTTCTGGAACCTATGCTGCTCATCCCCTTAAATCTGAGGTAAGCTTCTTTTTAGAGTTGTTTTCATTTACATGAATAGTAACTTTTCTTGGATAATTCCAAATTGTTTTCCAGAATGTCTGAGCCAATTTACAACTCCACCAACAATGTATTAGTCTGCCTGTTTACCCACAGCCCTTCTGGCATTGACTATTCCTATCTTTGCCAAATATGAGGTGAAGCCTCAGAGTTGTTTGGACTAGGATAGCACCTTACCTACCTGACTGTCTCCTATATAAGAGGCAGGGCTCTGTACTGTATGCCAAAGTATATACAGAAGGAGAAGGTATCTGTGCTCATGAAGGGTTCTCTGGGAGAACAGAGATACAAAACATATGTGCAAACTGGTTCATGTAGTGTGGTTCTTGTCCCCATCCTCCAGTGCCTCATTGCATCGATGATCTCATAAATGTCAGTATTCCTCTCAAAATATTCTTTTTTTTTGCATAGTTCTTGACTGACTCATACCATCTAGACTCAATAGAAGATCTACCCAATGTGTAGGAGGTCGTCTTCTAGGGCTTTTAATCTGTCTTGAGGGCTGACATCTGTTATCTATTAACTCTCATTCCCACTATTGGATCAACTTTCCCAATACTATATTTCCATAAAGCTTCACCTACAACATCTACTTGATGCAGAGGAAGAATTTCTTTAATATTTCACACTCACCAATGCAAAACTCTAGTTGTCTACCTGTTATCCAGTACTCTTGCTACTGAGCCTGCCTCCTTTCTGGGTCATATGCGTTTGAGGATGTATTTTAACCACATCACTTTTCATGTCCAAAGCATCATAAGCAATTGGCTATTACCTACTTATTCCCATCACGTGTTTTTCCATTGTACTTTGGTCGTCTGTAATTGTGAATCTTCTGAGAGCATCATATTCCATGATTTGCAGTCACATGGCATCCTGAGAGAATTCCACCATTAAAAAAGACGAGCTTCTACAGTAAGGAAGCCTCTTGGGAACAACACAAGCACCGTGAATTTTTCCAAATGAGATCCAGTCTTAACTCCTCCTCCTATTTAGCCTTTGGTCTAGCTCATGACCTGTCCGAGACAGATGGAATAACAGAGCGTATCAATGGGCTCCCCATCCAAGCACACATCATAACCTGAACAATGTGAATTTTTCATCCATTTAATTTCACCTGTGTTGGTTGCTTGGCCAAATGCTTTTTGAAGGACTCAAGGAGAAGAATTTCTCTAGCTTTATCATTGGGTGTTGGTGATTGAACTGCAATTATGTTCACTGGATTCTGCTGGCACTTCCTGTGGGCACTGATAAGACCACCAAATGTCCCATGAAATAAATGATTTTTCTTGTTGTCTTTGAGCATACAATGGAACAACCGTCCTCCTTATCCACCTGCCCAAAGAACTTTTGATCGATTCATCCATTGAGATGTAACTTTTTTAACGTGTCTTATTTTCATTTATTTTGAGAATGCCCATATGAATATGATTGAGTTTTGTTCAGAGTGTGTCTCTTAGGGGAAGGACCAATGCCAGCACCCTGTCAGTTCAGGTTAAATGTTAGGATGAAATAAAACTCTCTAAGTCATTGAAAAGTTAATGAAAGGAGTTTTACTTAACCCAACACAGCAAATATATACCACTAGGATAATGTGGGACTTAGCTTCTATAGATATGTTCTTCCTTTTCATCTGCATATGGAAAAATATCTGTTGAGGAGGGAAGGATATGGGACTTGTACGGTTTTCAGACATTTGTCAAGGGATACACAGCTTGAGCCTTCCCCGACCCCTGGACCACTCAAGTTCTAGCTTTGTCTTGAAGGGGTGTTGGTAGATGTTGATCCTATCACAGTACCCTCACCTTTCACTTTACAGATATGAGAATGGGACTTAATCAGGGTCACTCAGCCAGATTCCATCCCAGGTCTGCCTTCTTCCAAGGCCAACCACCATGCTACAACATAGTGCTTGGCATATAGTAAGTACTTAATAAATATTTTATCTATCTACTATCTGTCTATTACATCTAATAGTTGGACAAATATCTAAATTTTAGAATACCAACAATAAAGCTCATGGAGGGAGGAAGCTAAATATTGCATGAGTCTTAGTATCCTCTCCCCATCTTTCTACTTCTCTGACACTATCACTCCAAAAATCAAAGGGAGCCCCTGGGACTGAGGTCCTTCCATATTTTTGCCTGCTCCAAGAAGTTATCACCTAGTTTCTAGAGATGAGCCCATCCACACTTAACTTAGCTGGTCCTCACTCGGAAGCCACAATTGCCAGAAACTTGCTTATAGCCTTTGCATCTTGGTTAAACCTACCAAAATTTATGCCCCAGTGGTGGTATTTCTTTTAAGAACCTCACAGAAGGGGCAGCTAGGTGGTGCAGTAGATACACCACCAGCCCTGAAGTCAGGAGGACCTGAGTTCAAATCTAGCCTCAAATGCTTAACTAGCTGTGTGACCCTGGGCAAGTCACTTAACCCCAATTGCCTAACCAAAAAAAAAAAAAACCAAGCATTAACACAGGAATCACAAAGACCAACTTCAAATCATTAAAAAAAAAAGATTTGATTTTTCATACAGGAAAGTTAAAAGTCAAAGTGACTGCTCTGGTGACATAGTGACCCGTGGCTTGGTGTAGAAACTAGAAGTTAGAAAGTGTTTTAGAGGTCAGTTTCTCTATACTTATAGAGTCATAAACTAAAATCAAATAACCAGTAGTATGGCTCTAAATTCTGTTCCCCTAAACAAAATAAAAATGAGAGATCACCATCATTTCTACCTCATTCTCTCTCCCAGCATGACATAGTGAATATAAAGGACCTCAGATCCAGAAAGCCTCTGACATCTCCTGGCTACATGGCCATGGACAAATTGTGTAACTCCTTAGTTGCTCTAAGAGTAAGTTGAAGAAAAGGTGCTTGCCTATATTGGTAGAGGGAATACTCTTATCTGATCCAATCCTTATCCCTAGCTCTACCCAGCCTCCTATGAGGCATGACCTGACCTCTTCTTGGTTCTGTCTCTGTTCTGCCACCATTTCCACATGTCCATACAAACATAATGTCATCTCCCTAATTCTGTCCTCAGATCTCCTCTGTGTTCCTAGAGTGGTCTCTCTGAGCAGCCCAGAGGCAGAGCTTTTCCCCTTTTATACTCAAGTAACTTTTGGCAGTCCTCCTCTGCATCATCCCCGCCAAACACCCATCCCTTCCCTATCAACATCTCCAGCATGAAGACTGACACCCAATCCAATACCATTATACTACCCAGCCTCAGCTCCTGAGAGACAGAGAAACTAGGTGATAATTAGTTACATTCAGCTGTGAAGGCACTGGACCTTGGGACCACATTGGATTATCTCCAATTTATCCTGTATATGTATTTTTTGTACATTATTGTTTCTATATTGTTTCGCCCATTAAAATGTGATCTCCTTCAGAGCAGGGACTTTTTTTCCCTTTCATTATATCCCCAGCATTTAGCACAGTGTCTGGCACATTGTCTTTGCTTAATAAATACTTTTTGACTGACAAGCAGGCCTAACTCTCCTAGCTCACCCATCTGTAGCCCCATCAGACTCAGCCAGGTTTTCCTTTCCATAGATACTTAAGGCCTGTCTATAAAATGGCCTATTGAGCTTACAGTGGGTGACCCCACCCCACCTCACAATTTGTCTTTCCTTTACTATTTCATGTTGCTTGGACATTAATGGTGCCAAGGGTGAGTGTCTAGATTGAAGGTGGTCCCCCATCCTCTCAGTGACTGGAGTTGGCTTGCCTAACAATTAAGGGAGCGGGGACTGTCATATTTCAGGTTTATGTGCTCAGTGAAGTATTTCCAATTAAATCATCAGGGATATGCTGCTTCCTATCTGCACTCTCAGAGCCTCAGCCTCCAACATTCCTAGCAGGAAATGTCCAACACTCAGCTCCAAAGTCAGCTTGCTCAGAGAACTACTGTCTCCTGTGCCTTCTCAAATGAACCAGCCAATGCATGAAAGACCCTTCCTTCCAAGGCATTCGGATTCCCAGGTCCCTCCCCTACCCAGCCTCTCCTCCCAGGAGACACCCCTATCTCAAGAAATTAGCTCTGATGCTTCCCATTCTGAGACACCACTCACAACAAAGCTAGCTCACCTTGTAAATATGCATTGAGTAATTTATTATTCTTAATTCTGCACTATGTACAATCATCATCTCTGTGTTACCTTGTACATGTCTATTTGCACAGCCAAATCAATGTCATCTGTATCATTTTGTGAGCTCTTAAAGAGAAAGGGACTATATCTGACACTGCATTGTATTTGACAGGGTACTTAATAAATTCTAGAGCCAACTCTCAATTATCCATGCTAATGGAGCACCAGAGTGGCATAGATCATTCAAATAGGCCAAAAGTCATTACTCTCTGAATTTTGAATGTGATTTTTTTTTGCACTACATCTACCCAATATTAAAATGAGTCCCCATTAACAGAACACACAACCACCACGTGATGGGTGAAGCAACCCAGAACTGTACATTAGGCTTGCTAATGTGCTGGAGGACAAAAGTAGGGGTAGATTTCCAAGCAGCTATGGGGCAACAAGTCCAAGAAAGATCGCCCACTTGCCTGTTGGCAAGTAGCATCTTGTTTGTGTGTAGAGAGGCTTACAGAGTTGTAAAAATGTAGCTGTTAACACACTAATACCCATGTCACATAGAATAGCACAGAGTGTAACAGGATAAAATCTAATTATGGGAAAAGACTTTAAAGATCATCTAATGTAACCTCATGCTAAGAACTCCATTTACATTATCACTGACAGGTGATTATCCATCCAGCTTTTTGCTGGAGGACTTGTAGTTATACCAAATTTACTACCTCACAAGAAAACCTATTCCATTTTTTGACAGCTATAATGGTTAGAAAGTTTTCTCTTTCATTAAGCCTCAATATCTCTCCTTGTAACTTCCAACCACTGGTCCAAGTTTTGCCCTCCAGAGCCACACTGAATAAGTCTAATCCCTCTTCCAGATATCTGAAGACAGCTATCGCATACCCCCATGAGGCTTCCCTTCTCCAAGGCGAACATGCCCAGTTCCTTCAATTGCTCTTTCTCTCATTTGGGATGATCTTGAGAGCCCTCACCATCCTGCTTGCCTTCCTCTAGAGGCTCTCTAGTTCTTAAAATGTTGTATCCAACGCAATACATTGGATGTGACCAATGACAAACACAATTGCTTCCCTTGTTCTAGACACTATGGCTCTATTAAAAGAGAATAAGATTCCATTAGCTCTTATGGTCGCCTGCCACCGTGACAACTCATGTAACACTTGAAGTCTACTGAAGCCTCTTTTTTTTTTTTGTGCATAGTGCAGTTAAGCAAAGTCTCTCCCATCCTGCACTTGTGCAGCTGGTTTTCTTAACCTATGTCTAAAAAAAGACTTGACATGTATCCTTTTCTTTTCTTGGCTAGGCAATTGGGTTAAATGACTTGCACAGGGTCACATAGCCAGTAAATGTTTTGAACTCAGGTCCTCCTGACTCCAGGGTTGGTGCTCTATTCACTGTGCCACCTATTTGCCTTCACACATATCCTTTTTAAGGTTTATCACATCATTCCAGATTCAAACCCTGGTTCTGTCATCTAACCTATTACCTGTCTTTCCTAGATTTGTCCTGTACTAATTCAATGAGATCACTTTCTTTGTCTTCAACATGGTGAAGCAAAATGATCACTAAGAATAAGAAAGCTTGGATCGAAGTCCTTTCACTGGTACCCACTCACTAGAGGAGTCTGAGCAAATTACTTCATTTCTCTCCCCCTAAGTTCCCCTCCCCCATTTGCCAAATTAGGATCACAGTACTTACCCTACATACTTCATAGCATCGTTACGAGGAAAGTGCTTTGTTGGACTACAAGATGCCTGAATTGGTATCGGAGGACCTGGATGTGAATCCTGATTCTGCCACTTACTGCACATGTGATATTGGCAAATCTCTGGGCTCTCAGTTTCCCCATCTGTAAAATAAAGGAATTGGACCAAATGAACTTGAGAGTTCCCTTCTAACTCTAATCATTGCAGAACTGCTCCTGTTGATATTTTCATAGGTGAATTCCACTTCGCATTTCCATGCTTTTGCATAACTGGTCTGCTGTGAATGGAAAGCACTCTCTCTCTCCTCACCTCAAATGACACCTTCTCCAAGGTGTCTTGTAACCCCTATTACCTCATAAGATGTTGAGACTAGTGAATGACTTGAGCTTGAGAGTTCTGAGCTGCAATAGACTAAACTATTTGGATCACCACACTAATTCCAGCAGTAATTCAATGAGCCGACAGAGTTGCTAAAGAGGGGTAAACCAACCTGGGCAAGACAGAGAGACCCAATCTCATAAACAAAGGGATGAATAAGTAAATCAATCAATAAATGCATGGATGAATGGAAGAGGGATGAATAAAATGCTTTGAATTTTACATTATATATACATATATATGACTTCATGCTATTTCCTCCATTTAGAATGCAAGCTGCTTGAGAACAAGGACTGTTTTTTTCCTATATTCCTAGTGCCTAAAAGAGGACCTTGCACATAGTAGGCATTTAATAAATGATTGCTGATTTATTGAACGATTCCTCTATTTTTGTCATTATTCACCCAATAAAAATGTTGAATAGAACAGTGCTGAAGACACATTTCTCCCATTAGCAACCCCCTAATCCATTAATCAAAAGTCTCTGAAGACCATAGTTGTCCAAATCAATTTTAAAAGCACTTACTAAGTACCATGGGAGGAGATGGGCTCTACCCATCTAGAACTTTATCATTGGTCAGTTAGAGTATACATACAGCATGACTAAAAAAATAATTAAGGGGTGAGAGATGGAGAGAGAAACTATGATAGAGGGAAATACAGTTACCATAACTGTGAATGGGATGAACACACACAAAGTAAAGGTAAGAAGTTGGAGCAGAATTTATAATGCTTCAGCTGAAATAAAAAAAAAGGGGGTAGCAATCATGATCTGAGACAAAACAAAAATAGATCTAATTAAAAGTTAAGGAAGGAAATTACATCTTGCTAAAAGGTACCATAGACAATAAAGTCATTTCAGTACTAAATATATATGCACCAAATGGTATAGATCTAATTTTTTTAAAGAAGTTAAATGAGTAACAGGAAGAAAGAGGCAGTAAAATTATACTAGTGGGGAACCTCAACTTTCTCCTCTCAGTACTAGATAAATCTAACCAAAAATAAACAAGAAAGAAATTAAGGAAGTGAATAGAATTTAAGAAAAGTTAGAAATGACAGAGCTCTGGAAAAATTGAATGTGAAGAGAAAGGAATATACCTTTTTTTTTTTTCCAGTGGTGCATGGCACCTACACCAAAATTGACCATGGATTAGGGCATAAAAATCTCACAACCAAATGCAAAAAGGCAGAAATATAAAATACATCATTTTAAGATCATAATGCAATAAAATTATATTTAATAAAGGGCAGTAGAAAGATAAATTCAAAATCTAATCCTAAAAAATAAGGGGGTCAAAGAACAGCTCATAGAAACAATCAATTTCATTAAACAGCAGGACAACAATGAAACGCCATTCCCAAGCTTGTGGGATACAGCCAAAGCAGTACTTAGAGGAAGTTTTATATGACTAAACACTTATATCAATAAAATGGAGAAAGAGCAGATCAATGAATTGGGCATGCAAATTAAAAAAAAAAACTAGAAAAAGAACAAATTAAAAATCCTCAAACACCAAATTGGAAATACTGAAAATTGAAGGAGAAATTAATAAAATTGAAAATAAGAAAACCATTCAAGTAATAAAATAAAACTAGATTCTGGTTTTATGAAAAAACCAATAAAATAGATAAACCATTGATTAATTTGTTTGAAAAAAGAAAGAAGAAAGAAAATTACCAGCATCAAAAATGGAAAGGATGAATTCACCACCAATGACAAAGAAACTAAAGCAATTAAGAGCTATTTTGCCCAATTATATGCCAGTAAAGCTGACAATCTAAGCAAAACGGATGAACATTTACAAAAATATAAAGTACTCAGATTAACAGAAGTAAATAGAATACTTAAACCCATTTTAGAAAAAGAAATTGAAGAAACCATCACTGAACCCCCAAAGAAAAAAGTCCCCAGGGCCAGAAGGATTCACAAATGAATTCTACCAAACATTTAAAGAATAACTAGTCCTAATACCATATAAACTATTTGGAAAAATAGGCCAAGAAGGAATCCTACGAAATTCCTTTTATAACACAAATATGGTACTGATACTTAAGCCAGGAAAACCAAAAACAGAAAAAAACGATAGACTGATTTCCCTAATGAATATTGATGCAAAAATTTTAGATAAAATACTAGCAAAGAGATCATAGCAATATATCACAAAGATCATACATTATAATCAAGTGGCATTTATACCAGGAATGCAGGCTGATTCAATATTAGGAAAACTATTAGCATAAATGACCACATCAATAACACAACCAACGGAAATCACATGACTATCTCAAATGCAGAAAATTTTTTTTGACAAAATAGCACCCATTCCTATTAAAAACACTAGAGAACATAGGAATGAGGGGAGTTTTCCTTCAAATAAGATAAGCAGCATCTATCTAAAACCATGAGCAAGCATTATCTATAATGAGGATAAGCCAGAAGTCTTCCCAACAAGATCAAGAGTGAAGCAAGAATGCCCATTATCATGACTAGTATTAAAGATTGTACTAGACATGTTAACTATACCAATAAGAGAAGAAAAAGAAATGGAAAGAATTACAATAAGCCATGAGGAAACAAAATTATCACTCCTCACATATGATATGATGGTATACTTAGAGAATCCTAGAGAATCAACTAAAAAACTAATTGGGATAATTAACAACTTTAGCAAAGTTGCAGGACATAAAAGAAGGCCACATAAATCATTAGCATTTCTACATATTGTCAGCAAAGCCCAGCAGCAAGAGATAGAAAAAGAAATTTCATTTAAAATAACTGTAGACAATATAAACTACTTGGAAGTCGACCTGCCAAGACAAACCCAGGAACTATATGAACACAATTACAAAACACTCTTCCTATAAATAAAGTCAGTTCTAAACAACTGGAAAAATATCAGTTGCTTATGAGTAGGCTGAGCCAATATAATAAAAATGACAATTCTACCTAAATCGGTTTACTTATCTGGTGCCATACCAATCAGACAACCAAAAATTACTTTATAGAGATAGAAAAAATAATAACAAAATTTATCTGGAAAAATAAAAGGTCAAGAATATCAAGGGAACCAATGAAAAAAAAAAACATGAAGGAAGGTGGCCTAGCAGTTCCAGATCTCAAACTGTATTATAAAGAAGTAAT